AAAAAAAAAAAAAAGAATTCCCATGTATTATTCACGAAGATTCCCTGAAAGTCAACATCATGCCACATTTATCATTTTATTTCTATATATATTATTTTTCTGAAATCTGTTTGTAGACATTATACCTCTTTATACCTAAATTTTCCATTTGTGTAACTGACAGTACATAACCACAGTATATCAAAATTAGGGAAGTGACATTACTCAGTATTATTCTCAAAACAAATTCAAATGTCACCAGGTGTCCCGATTACAATCTTTTTAATAGTTTTTTCAAATCTTACTATGGTAAAACTAAAACCAAATTCACAATCATCAAATTAATTCTGACTCATAGTGACACTACAGAACAGAGTAGGGTTTCCAAGGCTGTAAATCTTTACAGAAACAGACTGTCATATCTTTCTCACATCGAGTGGCTGGCTGGTGGGTTTGCACCTCTGACCTTTCAGGTAGCAGACATCAGTGTTCCTTTATTGTGGTAAAATACAGATAATAAAAATTTTGCCATTTTAACCATTTAATATCATTTGTTCAGTGACAGTAACTGTATTCCCACTATTGTGCGACTACCACCATGACCTATTTCCAAAACTTTTTCATCACCCCAAAGAGAAACTCCGTACCTATTTAAGCAAAAGCTCTCATCATGTAGCTTCCTCTTCTAGCCCCTAGTAGTGCAAATCTTCTTTCTGTCTCTATGCATTCCAGATATTTCATATAAGTAGAATCATACAATATTATCCTTTTGTGTCTGGTTTATTTCACTTAGCATACTATGTTCAAAGTTTATCTATGTTGTAACATGTATCAGAACTTTATTCCTTTTCATAGCTGAATAATAATACATTGTATGGATATATTACATTCTGTTTATCTATTAATCTGTTAATGGACCTTTGGGTTATTTCTACCTTTTGGCTATATGAATAATGTTATGAACATTCACACACAAGTATATTTTTGAGTCTCTGTTTTCAATTCTTTTCTATGTATACCAAGTAATGGAATTACTGCCTCATATGTTAATTTTGTATATAACATTCTGAGGAACCACAGAACTGTTTCTTGTAGTAGCTGTACAATTTAACACTTCCATCATCAGTGGACAAGTATTTGAATTTCTCTACATCCTTGCCAAGACTTGTTTTTTTTCTTTATCATAGCTTTCCTAGAGAGTAGGAGATATCATTACTGATGCCAGATAGATCTTGGCTAAAAGCAAATACCAGAAAGATGTTTACTTGTGTTTTATCGACTACGCAAAAGCATTAGATTGTGTGGATCATAACAAATTATGGGTAACACTGAGAAGAATGGGAATTCCAGAACACTTCATTGTGCTCATGAGGAACGTGTACATAGACAAGGCTGTCATTTGTACAGAACAAGGGGATACTGCATGGTTTAAAACCATGAAGGGTGTATGTCAGGGCTGCATCCTTTCACCATATTTGTTCAATATGTATGCTGAGCAAATAATCCGAGAAGCTGGACTATACGAAGAAGAACTTGGCATCAGGAGTGGAGGAAGACTCATTAACAACCTGCAATATGCAGATGACACAACCTTGCTTGTTGAAAGTGAAGGTGACTTGAAGCACTTACTGATGAAGATTAAAGACTACAGTCTGCAGTATGGATTAGACCTCAACATAAAGAAAATGAAAATCTTCACAACTGGACCAATAAGCAGCATCACAATAAAAGATCAAAGTTGTCAAAGATTTCATATTACTTGGTTCCACAATCAACACCAATGGAAGCAGCAGTCAAGACATCAGATGACATACTAGACTGGGCAAACTTGCTGTAAAAGACCTCTTTAAAGTGCTGAAGAGCAAAGATGTCTCTTTGAAGACTAAGGCATGCCTAACCCAAATGATGGTATTTTCAATAACCTTATATTCATGTGAAAGGTAGACAATGATTAACGAAGACCAAAAAAGAATTGATGCTTTTGAGTTGTGGTGTTGGTGAAGAATACTGAATGTACCATGGACTGCTAGAAGAACTAACAAATCTGTCCTGGAAAAAGTACAGCCAGAACGCTCCTTGGAAGTGAGAATGACCAGACTTCATCTCACCTACTTTGGTCATGTTGTTAGAAGGGACCATTCCCTGGAGAAGGATGTCATGCCTGGTAAAGTGGAGGGTCAGCAAAAAAGGGGAAGACCCTCAACGAGACAGACTGACACAGAGGCTACAACAATGGGCTCAGGCATAGAAAGGATTATGGGGCTGGCAGAGAACTGGGTGGTGTTTTGTCTGTTGTACATAGGGTCACTATGAGTCAGAGCCGACTCGACAGCATCTAACAACAATAGCAACAGAGAATGTGAAGAGTCCTTGGGTGGTGCAAATGGTTAATGCACTCAGTTGCTAACCAAAAAGCTGGAGGTTTTAGTTCACTCAAAGGTGCTCTGAAAGAAAGGCTCGGTGATCTGCTTCCATAAAACAGCTATTAAAATCCCTATGGGACAATGAATGCCACAACACGTCCATGAATCATTGAATGGAAAATGAATTTGTTCTGTAAACTTTCACCCAAATCACAACAACAACAAAAATAAACCCTATGGAGCACAGTTCTATTCTGACACACAGGGGGCCACCATGAATCAGAGTTGACTTGATGGCAACTGGTTTGAAGAAGGTGTGAAGTGGTATTTCATTGTGGTTTTGAGTTGTATTTCCCTAATAACAAATGATGCTCAGCATCTTTTCATATGCTATCAGGTCATCTGTATATCTTCACTGAGAAAAGGGAGCTCTGGTAGTGTAGTGCCTAAGGCACTTGACTGCTGACCAGAAGGCTGGCAGTTCAAACCCACCAGTCACTCCTCAGAAGGAAGGTTGGGCAGTCTACTTCAGTAGTGATACTGCCTCGGAAACCCAAGGGGGGGGTCACTATGAGTCAGTCCAACTCGAGGGCACATAACAACACTGAGGAAATGTGTATTCAAATCCTTTCCCAATTTTTAACTGTCTTTTTGTTATTGAGTTGGAGGACTTCTTTATATTCTGGAGAGTAAACCATTATCAGGTATGTGTTATTGTTGTTGTTATGTGCCATCCAGTCAGATCCAACTCACAGCGACCCCTCCTTGGGTTTCCGAGGCAGTATCACTATGAAAGTAGATTGCCCAACCTTCCTTCCGAGTATCAGATATATAATTTGCAAATATTTTCTCCCATTCTGGATTGTGTTTTCACTCTCAATAATGGTCTTTGACGTAGAAAGTTTTTAATTTTGACGAAGTCCAATTATCTATTTTTTTCTCTTTTGTTTCTTGTGGTTTTGGTGCCATCTTTAAGAAACAATTGCTAAATCCAAGGTCATTACATTTTCCCCTGTTTCATCTACAAATTTTAGTTGATTCATTTTTAGTTAATCTGTCTACAAATTATCTTAGGGTATCCCACTTAGAGTCTATTGATGCTTTATATCCCCCATCTCCTCTTCATATATCACCACTGAAATTCAATTTTCCTATTTTGGTTTAGGGAGCTCTGTTGTCATAGTGCCTAAGACATTTGACTGCTAACCAGAAGGCTGGCAGTTCAAACCCATTAGCCACTCCTCAGAAGGAAGATAGGGCAATCTACTTCCATGGTGATACTGCCTTGGAAACCTAAGGAGGGGTCTCTATGAGTTAGATCCGACTTGATGGCAGTCAGTTTGGTTTTTTGTTAGCATTTTGGTATAATTATAACTTCTACTCCATAACATGATTGTTCATCTTTTTTTAATAAAAAGCATAAGTATGTTTTTTTAATAATGAGCACTGTGACTCCTGAGGTATTAACTGGCCTATTTTAAACCATACTAATGAGAGAAAGTAAAGGGACACCCCCACCACCTTCCATCCCTTCCTAGGTAAGCTTTAATGTGGTCTTCTAGAAATAATTACCCTGCCTTTTGTCATCTAACATGACGGTTTAGTGGTGAAAATGTCAGGCTAAGTAAGAGGGAAAATCAGACTTATGGGTGGGAGAGGAAAGATACTGGCTGAAATGGCTCTCCAATCACAATGTGCAGGTATTTCCAACTTCACCAACAGGTAAGATCAGCATTTGGCAGGAGAAAGATAAAGTAGATAAGCCCTGAATGTTCTCCCAGAACCTTTCCTCTTTGTCATTGATATATTTTTCTTTTGTAAGAACTTTTTAAATATTAAAATGCAGATTGGGTATCTCTCCTATAAGTGTATGAAATGCTAGAGCTTCTCCTGTAACTGATAAAAATAAACCACGTAATGCAGCACACAAAGAACTGCCAAAGTGTTTAAGTGGCTGAGTTCCACGGAGAACACAAACCCAAAGCCAGGGAGAACAACACTTCTCTTGATTTCCTTCCTAAATTCTCAAGTCAAATTTACAGGCACGATGTATACTTGTTCCTACAACTGGAAGTGAGAAAAAAGTGTAAGAATGGCTATTTAGGAGTTAAAACTATGCCCCTGAGAGAATGGTCACAAATATGCATGATCCCATATACTTGCTATTCACATGAGCTATATTTTTGGTGCTCTTAAACATGTAAAAAAAAATATAGCTCAATAAAGCAAGTTCAGAGTTTTTAACTTACCTTTTTTTGTGTTCTGAGCTCAAATCCCTAATTTCAGGTGAAATTAGTGGTGAAATTTTCTTCTCTGTTGTTTTAGAAAACTTGATGTACTTCTTGCTGTAAAAATGTCTTGATGGAGAGTCAGCTGCAGAAGAATGAGAACCAGCATCCACTAACTCAGTGTTTTCTTCTGCCTGGAAAACAATCAAAAACTGCAGTAAGCCATGTCATCTTTGCACATATGCATTAAATATGACATTCTGGGTTAGGCTAGGTCATTTTAGAATCAATATTCTCTACAAAATAGTGCTATCAAAGGGAATTTTGTTAAAAAGCATTTTATTCGTGAGTGCATTATGATTCCAAATTAAGTATATATACTAAATACCTCCAACTTTCCTTAGTGCATTCCCCAGATAGAAAATGTACAGCATTCCTGAATGCATCTAACAGTTGCTGAATGCAGCTCTTAAGGAATCAAGCTGCAAGGTTACCATGTACTCTGCAAAGTAATAGTTTGTTATCATAAAAAAAAAAAAAAAAGTAACTAGAACCTAGTAGCAATGAACACATTTGGAAAAAGAGAATGAAAGTTTGAAATATTCTGAATAAATGCTTCTTGAACTTTGGCTGTTCACTTAACACAATTGGACTTTATCTATTGATCAAAGATTCCAGGTGAGATCTTGATATTTAGCAAGAAGCCCAGAAATTACTTTTTTGATTATAGTGATAAGTACATGTCCTATTTGAAGGCACCAGATCTAAGGCTTAAAGCAAATATGTTTTTACAAAATTATATATCATTTCAAAAATACATTTAAAAGATTAAGAAATTAACCCTAAACTATAGATAAAAACATCCTCTCAATCACAAGCAAGAAGGCTAGAGAAACTTGTTTTTAGGGGCCATCAAGTCAGTTTCATCTCATAGCAGCCCTGTGTACAACAAATGAAATACTGCCTGGTCCTGCACCATCCTCATAATCCTTGCTATGCTTGAGCCCATCGTTGCAGCCATCGTGTCAATCAATCTCATTGAGCACCTTCCCCTTTCACGTGGACCCTCTACTTTACCAAGTATGATATCCTTCGCCAGGGAATGGTCCCTTCTGACAACATGACAAAAGTAATAGCAGCAGCAGCAGCAGTGCACTGCCATTGAGTTGATTTGACTCATAGTGACCCTTCCTTGGGTTTCCGAGGCGGTATCACTATGGAAGTAGATTGCCCAATCTGCCTTCCAAGGAGTGACTAGTGGGTTTGAACCACCAGGCTTCTGGTTAGCAGTCAAATGCCTTAGGCACTACACTAGCATCTGGCCATTCTCACTTCCAAGGAGCATTCCAGTTGCATTTCTTCCAGGACAGTTTTGTTCATTCTTCTGGTATTTAAGGAGCATTCCGGCTGTACTTCTTCCAAGACAGATTTATTTGTTCTTCTGGCAGTCCATGGTATTTTCAGTATTCTCTGCCAACTCCACAATGCAAATGCATCAATTCTTCTTCAGTCTTCCTTATTCATTGTCCTGCTTTCACATGCATATGAGGCAACTGAAAATACCTGTGGCTTGGGTCAGGTGCACCTAAAGTCACTTAAAGTGACATCTTTGTTCTTTAACACTTTAAAAAGGTCTTTGCAGCAGATGTCCCCAATGCAATACATCATTTGATTTCCTGACTACTGCTTCCATGGGCACTGATTGTGGATCCAAGTAGAATGAAATCCTTAACAACTTTGTATCTATTATAGTATCTTTTGGTTAGAGTCCCACATCATTAACTGCATTATCTACAACCTCAGTGTAAATTTAAATCCTTTGGTCTCTTAAAAAATGATCTAGTCCTCTACCCCAAGAAATACTCTCATCATAAACCACAGATCTCTTGGTACTATGTGGATTGCTGAAACAAGACTTCAATATCTGTCCATTTAAAGAACTCAAAAATCACCTCAGTTTTTGGGCAAGTTCCTTATGACTTTATTACTCTACGAATTTGCTCACTGACTATGTAGGTGAGATAATATAAACTAGTAAGAAAAAGTAAGAATCTTTAGAACCTGTTTTGAAAGAATACCTGACAGAACAATTGTACTTTAGTTTCCATGTTTATGTAAATTCTTCCCTTGAGGACTCAACAACCTTGAGGAACCAGTGTGACTGAGCAAAAGTGCAAAAGAATTTCCTGCCAAGAAAAAGGGGAAAAAAAAAAATTATATCCCTGTTATAGGAGACTGAAGTAATTACATTTACCTACCTGAAGTTATCTCTTCAATTTAACACTCACTTTGTGACATATCTAATAGATTTTCACCAACACAAACATGTGGGCAAAAGCTAGAAAAAGTAGTGAATAGATTATAACTCACAGGACCTCATCCAGTTTTTTAACTTTACCTTTTTTTGGTACAGGAAGAAGTCAAGAAATACAATTTCAAATGGCACAAAAAGCACAGGAATTCAGTTACACTTATTTATTCTAAAAAGCCCTGAGAAGAACTACTAAAATGGTAGTAATGTTGTTGTTGTTGTTGTTGTTATGTGCCATCGAGTCAAACCCGACCCATAGCGACCCCTCCTTGGGTTTCCGAGGCAGTATCACTACGGAAGTAGGATTGCCCAACCTTCCTTCCGAGGAGTGGCTGGTGGGTTTGAACCACCAGCCGTCTGGTTAGCAGGCAAGTGTCTTAGCCACTATGCTACCAGAGCTCCCAAAATGGTAGTAATAGCCAATGTTATTTAATTCTTACTGTGTGGTAGCCATTAGGATAAACACTTGGATGTAAATTATTTCATTTATTCATCACAAATAATCTTTAAGAAATGACTGCAGATGAAAAAAAAAAAGGAAGACTTGAAGAAAACAACTTGCCCAAGATCACACAGCCAGCAAGTGTTAGAGTCAGAATTTTAATTCAGGCAATCTAACTGCAGAGCCCATAGTGTTCAACACTATACGATACAGTATTGCTTCTCAATAGTAGTTTAGCTTAACTAGTAAAAAACGTCTGCCTTGAGCACTAAGCTCTTTTTTTAGAACTATGTATCAAATAGACAACAGCAACTTGAAAGATTAGAAAGAAACCTTAACGGGCAATGAATTTATGTTAACGGAGAAGGAACAACTCAGAAAAGGAGGGTATGGTTGCACAACTCAAAGAATGTCATCAGTGAGGAACTGCTGAGCTGGTGCATGTTTTGTTGTGTATATTCTCAACAACAACTAAATAAATTTAAAATTTTTAAAAACCCACCATGATTAAATGAGGAACCCAGGAGGTGCAGAGGTTAAAGTGCTCAGCTGCTAACCAAAGGGTGAGCAGTTCAAACCCACTAGCCTCTCTACAGGAGAAAGAGGCAGTCTGCTTCCATAAAGATTTAAAGCCTTGGAAACCTTGTGGGACAGTTCTACTCCATCCTACTGGGTGGGTACAAGTCAAAATTGACTTGACGGCAGTAGATATGGTTTTGGTTTATGATTAAATAAAGTTTATTACATTGGGGGAAAAAAAAAGATGTTTTAGCCTGGTTTTAATCCAGAGAATTTTTATATTTTGGAAATGTGATAACCAACACTTTTTAAAATTTCAAAAATAATTTTACACATTATATGTGAGCCATGTTTTATGAATTGTTTATTGCCTTGCTGGCTATACATTGCTAGCCGCAATTATCATTGACCTTTACATAGTGTGACGTTTAACTAACTACAAGTATTAATATTCTGTCTGAGGGAAGTATGATGCTTTAAAAAACATTTGCATTTATTTCTGAAATACGTTGTAGCAATTACTGTTTAATTTTATATGCCCAATGTTCCCAGAATTCAAAATACATTAAAAAGAAAATGAAGCCAAATTACCAATACTCATCTCAGAAGACATGAGAAAACTATACAGGTGTCTCCAGAAACATCCACTATGTCACCTCTTCTAAATCTTCTCTAACCAGTTCAGTCCTTACCTCTACACTATTTGGCAGTATTTTTACCATCTTCACTATTCAACTAGCACTAATCATTTGCCTTATATTTTTAATTATTCACATATAATGCTCTTATCTCAACTATGGCCTAGATTTCTAAAGAACTGATGAGACTGTCATTATTCTTTGAATTATTTATCTATTATACATATATAAAGAAACCAAATCCACTGCTACCAAATGAATTCTGACTCACAGTTACTGTATAGGACAGACTAGAATTGCCCCACAGGGTTTCCAAGGTGTACATCTTTACAGAAGCAGGCTGTCTCATCTTTCTCCCACAGAGCAGCTGGGAGATTTGAACTACTACTACCCCTTTAGTTAGCAGCCAAATACTTCAATCACTAAACCACCAGAACTCTTTAATTAAACAGAGTAAAACCAAAATCCTTTACCCTCCAGTTGATTCCAACTCAGAGACCCTGAAAGCATTATTTAAATAACCTGTGAAAGAAAGAACTGTTTCATAATCTAGTGGCCTGATTAGCAAAAAAAAAAAAAAAAAAGGGGGGGGGGGAGGCAGGTCTTAATCATTTGGGTAAGGAGCTCTAGGCTCTGGCGGCACAGTGCTTAAGGCATTTGACTGCTAACCAGAAGGTTGGTGGTTCAAACCCACCAGCCACTCCACAGAAGAAAGACTGGGCAATCTACTTCCATAGTGATACTGCCTTGGAAACCTAAGAAGGGGTCACTATGAGTCAGATCCAACTTGAAATCAGTGAGTTTTGTTTTTTGTTTTTTGGTGTTTTTTTTTTTTTTTTTGGTTAAAAAGGAATGAAGTTCTAGTACATGCTACAACATAGATGAACTCTGAAAACCTTACGCTAAGTAAAATAAACCAGACACAAGAGGATGAATATTGTGTGATCCATTTAGCTAAAATATCTAGAATAGACAAATGCATAGAGACAGAAAGTAGTAGATTAGTGGTTACCATGGGCTGGGAAAAAGAGGGAAAAGGGAGTTATTGCATAATGGGTACAGAGTTTCTATTTGGAGTGATGGAAAAGTTTTGGAAACAGATAGTGGTGGTGGTTGCACAAGATTGTGAGTGTGATTAATGCAACTGGATTATACATTTGAAAACTGTTTAAAAAGGCAAATTTTATGTTGTATATATTTCACCACAGTAAAAACAAAACTGAGAAATCAACTGTGAAAAATGGTGCTGAGAGGTCAAGTAAGATGAGCATCAAATAGCTCATTAGATTTTGCAACGCGGAGGACACTGATAACTTTGAAATGAGCCATTTGGGTAAAATGGTAAAGAGGCAATGTCCTTGGAGTGAGTTCAAGAGAGAAACGGGACAGAAATTGTAGATAGCCAGTAAAGAAGACTCTTTTAAGGAGTTATGTGGTAAAGGGAGAGAAATGACATAGTACTTGAGGGGAAAATGGTATCATGAGGGTTTAAAATGGGAAAACTAAAGCTATGTTAATTCGTATGTTGATAGGAATGGTCCAATACAGTGAAAAAGTGATGACACAGGAGGGAAGAATTACTGGAACAGTATTCTCAGGAAGGAGAAAAGAGATGGGAATTAGAGCACAAAGGGAAGGTTTGGCTTTGGCTAAGAACATATCCATAGTAATAGGAGACAGAGCAGAGTAATTAGACACAAATTAGGATTGTGAACAATTTTTGTTACTTGCCCTCGAGTCGGACCCAACTCATAGCAACCCCACCTTGGGTATCCGAGGTAGTATCACTACGGAAGTAGATTGCCCCATCTTCCTTCCGAGGAATGGCTGGTGGTTTTGAACCTCCAGCCTTCTGGTTAGCAGTTAAGTGCCTTAGGCACTATGCTGCCAGAGCTCCTTCCAAGGTTTGGTTGGTGGGTTTGAACCGCCAGCCTTCTGGTTAGTAGTCAAATACCTTAGGTATTATGGACCTAGCATTTCATTCTGTTGTGCACAGGATAGCTATGAGTCAGAATCAGTTCTATGGCACATAACAAGAAGTAGGATAGGTGAGTAGATGTAGTTATAGATGTAACTTGTACAAATTCATTTCTGACTGCTGTAGCTTTCTCAGTGAAACACGAAGCAAAGTTATCAACTAAGGACAACGATGGAAGATGAGGTGCCAGAGGTTTCAGGGGAGAGGTAATAATTAGGAGGGTGGGAAAATTTATAGCCCAGAGGAATCTGATATGGTTACTGGGTTGCCTCAAGGGCTCCCCGAGGTTTGTGATCATGAATTTAGAGTGAAACCCCTCAGCACAGTTGTGTATTTTTCTCTAGCCATGTTCACTGCTAATAAGCTGGCAGTTAGTAAACAGGTATCATATGATCCAGGATTATGATTTAGTCCAAGCAGTAAAATGAACTGAAAAGGAGGCAAGGGAGCTGGAGAGTGTGCAAGGGAGTGGTTTTAACGATTGATCCTAAAACTTAAACTGGGTAGATGAGTGGGAAATAAGGACAAGAGGGCATGAGGGCATAAAAACACAGATTAAAGATCCTGGTGGGGTGAAAGGATTGTTAAGAGCTGGGAGTGAGCCAGAAAGACAAGAACATGACTGGGGAGACTTAGACATGTGAAAATCAGATAATGGAGTTGTAGTTCTTGGTAAAATAAACTAAAAGCTATGAAAAAGTGGTGATTGAGGAAGGTGAAATCACAAGAATTATAACTGCCCAAGAAAATCTCGTACTCTGTTAAAAGTGAAAGAAAAGGAGTTTTGTTGAAGAATAATACAGCTCAAGCTATGCATTTAAAAAAAAAAAAAAACTCATTGCTGTCAAGTTGGATCCCACTCATAGCGACCCCTCCTTGGGTTTCCAAGGCGATATCACTACCGAAGTAGATTGCCCAATCTTTCTTTCAAGGAGTGACTGGTGGGCTGGAATCACAAGCCTTCTGGTTAGCAGTCAAATGCCTTAGGCACTATGACACCAGCATTCCTTCAAGCCATGCAGTCCTGAGTAAAACTACAATGCATTCTGCTGTCTCTCTATATAGAGTTAGAGATTTTTATGCTAGAGAACAAGGAACATAGGGAGTTAATAATTGATTCAGCTTCTTCTTTGGAGTCCTTTGAAACAATAAAGGTTGGCCATTTGTCTCAGGGGACTGATTTTACCCCCTAGACAAGTGGGGCCACCGGGTTAGGTTTT